TTTTTTTTTTTTTTTACTTTTTGATTATCGACGGATCTTTTTAACCATTTGGACTACACCGGCGCTTTCGTTATAAAAGCCTATACGAATTGCTTATCATGAGCAAGGAACATAAAGACCATAAAGAATGACTTAAGACCGCTTTCGATTGATTATATATCGAAAGGAATCATGTAATGTTTAGGAATGTATGCTTGCAAACCATAACACGTATGCTAGAAGACTTTCATGTTTAATTTTTGGTGGTAAATTTTAGCGTTTAATACGATGAAAAATTTCGTAATTTTTTGAAAGTGAATGTTTCCATAAATATATTAGGGATAAAAATATTTGTTATGACAAACTGTAATCAATGAGTAAAAACAGTTCTTTATACCAGATTACCTAATGGTTACAATTAACGACTGCAATATTTAACGCGGCCGTCTCAAAAAACCTAGACGGCTGCTGAGTATGTACGCTTCTCTTCAGTCCTCTTCACGCTGATTGTAGAGTGGTGTATCGTACTTTGTGGCATGTATACGATTAAAATACTTTCACTTTACACTACTTCTCTTTGTCCATCAAGAATAAAATGCAATAATATGAAGCGACCACGGAAAGAAAAATCAGAGAATGCTTATCTCACATGCACTGCAGGCAATCTCATAAACGCTACGAGAAAGCCAAAATGGCGTGGAAGAGCTAAGAATGAGCACGAATCGCGAAGCGTTGGTGGAGAACTGGAAATGAGTCTGTTCCTGAGTTTCAGGAAGATTCTCCTGTTCCAGTTTCTCAGATTGTGAGAAAAGGCGAAAATAAACACCTGGAACAGGCTATGGGAAGTGCCAGCCCGCTATACCGAGAACCACAAACGTAAAACATGCCACGTATAAAAAATACCGTCTTTTCAGGCATGTACATGTATTATTATAAAGGGAAATATAGGGTAGTGTAACACAAGACCTTATACACTTTTCTGTGTAGTTAAGACCAGAATTTCTCCCTTCCATGCCCTATGGGCAGTTCTGTTTAAACTCTCCTTCCCGCTACTTAGGTTTAGACCCAAAATTTGGAGGGGTAGGAAGAGTTCAGTGATATTAATGTTTCTTTTAAACACGTCTGTTAAGACGATGTTCCTTGGTATTCCTGGCACTGTTCAATCAGTGCCTCTGATCCATCCCTTACACTAGTACGCTTGTTTATAATTCTATCCAGCAGTATGTGAGCAACAGGATACAAATCCTCGCCCTTCTTATCTATGATCTTATCCAGGGCTTTAAGCTTCGATATCCGTTCTTGTAGACTTTCCCATCTATATACTCCTCTTCTTGCCACACTTGTCAAAACGAGATAAGGTAGCCCACCAATGGTGACTGCAGTTCCTCCTCCGATTAAAACTCCAAGCACAATGGGAATAGTTTGTTTTTTGCAGGTCCTCCATGCTATTATTCCGCCAAGAATCATTCCGAGAAGAATGGCAGCGACCAGGGCGTTTCTTCCATGTGTCATGATTTGGTCTTTCATTGTCTTGCTGTAGTTGTACTGCCTTTCCACTATTTTTGGATCCACTTTAACGAAGCCTTCAAGCTCTGTGTGCCTGGAAATTGAATGTAGATTCTTAAAACTTGGTGTTTTTTTAAATATAATTTGACACTGGGAAAACAGAATAAAAGGACTCCTGAGGACAACCGAGAACAACATGGCGACCAACAGCGGCGGATCTGACAGGATAGAGGAGTTGCGTACAATCAACCTTAAAGACCGAGTATTGACCATAATGCTTTCTGCGCGTCTGCTATTGTTTTGGTTACATGATAGCGAGGTTTCTATTGTTTTCTAATGCTGCACAGCGTGCACTGCATCCTGGTCAAAACTGGGTTCTTAATGTTCGTTGAAGTGTGTTTCATTAGAGAGAATCACGTGGACAGGCGTCATTTTTTTTACAAGGATTTTCATGGTTTTGCGCTTGCGTGATGCATAATTCAACAAAAATATCGCGTGATGTGTGATAGGAAGTAGGTTGATGTGTGACTGAGGCGGGATATCGTTGAAGCATTTAAAATGCATAGTCAGGATTGAGAGCGAGTAGTGTTAGAGTTAGTATCTTTTAAATTACTGTGGAGCAAAAAACTTCTAATTTGGACTAGAAGTGTCAGAATGACATTCAGCAATTTATAAAATAATTAAATTAAGCATCAGATATCGTTATGGCAACAAGCTAACATCCCCCGCCGGTTCTTTATATACGACTCAGTCTGTAAATATTTACGCAAAATTCGAGGGAATGCTTTCGGTTGTTGTTGTTGTTTTCATTGTTGTTAAACTCTTAGAGTTATCATATTTGATGTAAGCAAGCGTACTATTTGAGGCGGGAGAATCTGTTCAATTGTGTAGACAAAATTATTATCTTCGCCGGACAAATTAGCTTCCTTTTAATAGTCACTGGATATGCAGGTGGAAAATTCCTCTTTCTTGTGCAATTTTAATTGACTAACACCTGACGCCTAAAACAGAGCAGTACCTGTAGTTTACAAATTGGTTTGGGGAGCCTTAAAAGATTGCCCTTGTGAAATTATCTTTTGGTAGCTATGAATTGCTTCTGAAAGAAAAGCTAAAATGAGCTACAAAGTTTGCATTAATCCACCATTACGTGTA